TACTGGGTCCAGGATTCGGATCATGAAGCTGGCCATGTGAGATCCAGCACCTTAAACTCTCTCTCTCTCTCTCTATATATATATATAATTTTTTTTTTCCTTTTCTGGAGAGGTTTTTATTATAGGACGCATGCGCTAGCCAGAAAGACACAGACAGAAAGAGAAAAATCACCCTCCAGGGGGGATGGCCACACCACAGTCCCTTTTCCTCTGCTCTCTTCTTGGGATCTTGGGGCACGCATGCACACGCGTCTGGCGTTAGTTTAAGCTGCCGGGTCCGGGACTTAAACTGCGGTTGACCACGTGGGCGTCCAGCAACATAGCCATTATACCAACCGCTGGTCCCCCTTTTTTAGAGAGAGAATTTTGCTATAGGGAGCATGCACTCACCGAGAGACAGAGGCAGAGAGACAGAAAGCAAGAAATCACCCCCCTGGGGGGATTGGCCATGCCACAATCCCTTCTCCATTCTCACCTCTGGATTTTGGTGATGCACCCAAAGTGAGTTTCAAGCCTCCTGGTCTGGGACTCAAACCACAGTTGGCTATATGGGAGTCCAGTGGTGTAACCATTATGCCATCTGTTAGTTTCATATATATATATGTGTGTGTGTGTGTGTGTGTGTGTGTAATACATATATAAATTTTAAATGTATATTTGTATAAATATAAGTTTATATATAATATATATTATATAATGTAATATATAAATTTTTTTGAGAGAGAGACATTTTTCCTGTGGGGTTTGTGCACTCACCTGAGAGACAGAGACAGCGAGAATTCCCCTCCAAAAAGGGATAGCCATGCCTCAATCCCTTCTCCAATCTCTTGGGATTTTGGTCATGCACTCACCCAATGTGAGTTTCAAGCTGCCAGATCTAGGACTCAAACCATGGTCAGCCTTGTGAGAGTCCAGCAGTGTAACCATTACACCATCTGCTGGTCCCAAAGGGCATTGTGTTTTATCCTTCTTTTTCCCAAGATGAATTTCAAAACCTTTCAGTTGATGGGGCTGGCAGGTAGTGTGATGGTTGGGGGCGTTGAACTCCCACATAGCCAAGTATGGTTCAAGTGCTGGACCTGGTGGCTTGCTTTCTTACTTTCCCTCTGTCTCGCTGTTCAAACTGGAAAATAATAACAATGATAAAGTTAAAATGATAGTTAAAAAAAAGCTTTCAGGTGATAAGATGAAACAAAAATATGGCATGTGATAAAACGTAATTGTTTTGTACACGTGTCATGTTAGTTGCAGGATATTTAAAAATCACCCAAAGACACTCTAGTAAAATGTCAGTTTATTAGAGGACAGGAAAATGTCAAGACACATAATTACAGAAAGTACTGTTTGGCTTGTCGGAAAACCAAGCCTTTAGTCAGCAACTTGCTGGGGGCTCCACAGTTCTGCCTACCCAGTGTTTTCCTGCCATGTTTGGGTGTTGGTTATGCCTTAAAGAATGTTTTCTTTTTCTTTCTTTAAAGCTTATTTCTTCCAAGATGATAGAAGGAGAAACAAACACAGATAGACAGATATCCCTATAGGACCCTTATACAGTGATCCACCCTGTCTCAGCTAGCTCAGATCAGAGACATGCATGTGTGCCCAGCATACTTGGGGAGAGATCCTTGGATACGAGCCTAGGACCTTTTCCTATTTAAGTCCACCTGCATTACCATTGTGCCACCACCTAGACTTTTTTTTTTTTTTTTTTTTTCAATTAAACCACATGCTAGCTCAGATCAGAGACATGCATGTGTGCCCAGCATACTTGGGGAGAGATCCTTGGATACGAGCCTAGGACCTTTTCCTATTTAAGTCCACCTGCATTACCATTGTGCCACCACCTAGACTTTTTTTTTTTTTTTTTTTTTTTTCAATTAAACCACATGAGCCTGGGTCTGCAATAAGAACCTCTTGTAGGTAGGGAGTTTATGACAGCCTTCTGATAAATGGTTTCTTTTGTGCCATTTATTTTTCATGGAATGTGAATTCCCAGTATCTCCAAGTCATAAGGCAGTATGAGTTAATTCCCTACCCTTAGGATCTACCTCTGGTGCCTGCGGGCTAAGGGAGAGCCTATGGCTAAGAAGAGAGTAGAAAGTAACTCTCTGGAGAGAAAATGAACTTCTGTAATGTATTTTGTAAGAACTGAGCCCTGTTGTTTGATGAGGTGGGAGAAGTGTATTTATGTGTCCCACTCCTTTCTGTCTTCCTCATCTCTCTTGTTTGTCCTCCCTCCCTCCCTCCTTCCTTTTAGTCCACCTGCCCTCTCTCCCTCCCTCCCTCCCTTTCTTCTTTCCTTCCCTCCTTCCTCCTTCTCTCTGTTTTCTTTCTTTTTTAGGTTTATGCTGTAAGGCCCATACACTTGCCAGAGAGAGACAGAGAAAGGAAAAGTGAGAAATCATCCTCCTCCCCAGGGGAAATGGCATGTCATAACTACCCTTTTCTTCCATTCTCCTCTTGGGATTTTGGCCACACATACACATACACACACGCACACACGCTCAGCATGAGTTTCAAGCTGCTGGGTCCTAGGCTTGACCGTGATCATCCATGTGGGAGTCCTGCACCTTAACCACTACATCATCTGCTGGCCCGTTTACCTTCTCATCATCCTTTGGGACTCCTCTCCCCACAAACACCATGCTCCTTTTCTGCTTTCACCTCTGTCTATCTGTGATTATCTAATCAATGCAAGCAAAATACCAGATTAAATGACAGTATTTAAAAAGCTAATGCTGTATACATAAGAATATACACTTTCAAGACATTTGGGAGAGAGCATTCCAGTATAATTGTTTTGACTTGATAAGATTTCTCAGTGATATAATCATTTGGATTCAAAGTCTCTGTCACAGCTTAGATAGCAATGAAAATGTGCTCTGAAAGATTGCTTTAGATAACTCAAAAATTTGTTCTAGATATACATACATATGCTGATGTCTCAAAGATATGTCAGTACTTTAAATAAAATTTAGGGTATTTACAATAGGTTGGGGTAAAACAGTTTGTATTTTATAGAGGGTTTTTTTTTTTTTTACTTTTTTTTTTATTATTATTTAACTTTATTTATTTAATTCGACTGGAGAGGAACAGAGCAAGAGAGAGAGAGAGAGAAAGTGAGAAAGCAAGCCGCCAGATCCAGGACTCGAACCGTCGTGGGCCATGTGGGAGTCCAACACCCTTAACCACTACCCCAACTGCTGGCCCCCTTTTTTTTTCTTTTAAGAGATTTTTTGCTATATGGTATGTGTACTCACTGGAAAGACAGAAAGCGAGAAATTACAGCCCCCCACCCCCTGGCAATGGCCTTGCTGCAACCCCTTCTCCATTCTTCTCTCGTGATCTTGGGCATACACACACATGTGCCCAATGTGAGGTTAAGCCATTGGGATCAAGACACGAACTGGGGTCAGCTATGTGGGAGTCCAGAGATGTAACCATTACACCATCTCCTGGTCCCAAGAGATACATATTTTTTATTATATAGGTGCCTAAACTTTATATAGATATTTCAAATTTATCTACTTAAAAGTTTTATACTTTCAGTTGATCAAAATCTTTAAAATCAGGGTGGCTCCATAGTACAGCAGCAATGCACTGTTCAAGAGAAGCTGGAATCCGGGAACCAGCAGTTAGCGTAATGGCTATGTTGCTGGACTCCCACGTAGTCGACCGCGGTTCATGTCGCGGACCCGGTGGCTTAAAACTCACGCCAGGCGCGTGTGCGTGCGTGCCCAAGATCCCGAGAGAATGGAGGAGAAGGGATTGCGGCGTGACCATCCCCCCTGGGGGGTGGTTTCTCGCTTTCTGTCCCTCTGTCTGACTGGCGAGCGCACACGCCCTATAGCGAAAATCTCTCCAAAAAAAAAAAAAAGCTGGATTCCACATGGTGACCATAGTTCCATTCCCCAGCCCAGATAGCTTAAAACATTCTAGAGGAGTAGGGACCAGTAGTTAGTGTAATGGCTATGTTGCTGGACTCCCATGTAGTCTACCAGGGTTTGAGTCCCAGATCTGGTGGCTTAAACTCACACTGGGCGCATGTGCGTGCGTGCCCAAGATCCCAAGAGGAGAATGGAGAAGGCATTGCGGCGTGGCCATCCCCCCCTGGTGGGTGATTTCTTGCTTTCTGTCTCTCTGCCTTTCTGGCAAACACATGGGCCTTATAACAAAAACCTCTCAAAAAAAAAAAAAATCTAGAGGGGCCAGTAGGTGGCATGGTGGATACAGTGCTGGACTCTCACGTGGCTGATCACAGTTTGAGTCCCAGGCTTGGTGGCTTGCTTGCTCACTTTCTTTGTGTGTGTGTGTGTGTGTGTGTCTAGTCAAATTTTTAAAAATGAGTAAATAAATACACTTAAATCTTTAGAAAAACAAAAACACACAAACTAGCAATGTACACTAGGTGCTCTCAGGATCAGATGGGTTTTAGAACTGGAAGAGATTGTGGCTTGTCCAGGCCCCATGAAGTGTGTAAGTCCAAATTTTCTCTTTCTTTCCTATATATGCACATGTATTGTATCATGAATAAAGAAAAAAAAATAATTTGGTGTGCTCCTAATTAACACCAAAACTGATGCTTACTGAAAATTAGTCTTTAAAATAAAACTTTAGAGACTAGCAATTAGCGTAGTGGCTATGTCACTGGACCCCCATGTAGTCGACCGCAGTTTGAGTCCTGGACTCAGTGGCTTAAACTCACGCTGGGAGTGTGTCCATGCGTGCCCAAGATCCTGAGAGGAGAATGAAGGAGAAGAGATTGCTGCATGGCCGTCCCCCCCGGGGGGGTGAGTTTTCCCTTTCTGTCTCTCTGTCTCTCTCTGTTTTTCTGGCGCATGCACACACCCTGCAGGAAAAAACCTCTACAAAAAAATAAAATAAAGTTATCATTTATTTAATATTGATTTTTTTTCATATTTAGGTGAAAAACCCTTTACCTAAGGTTATCATTTTAAAGCACTGATGTTTAAAAGTTACAAATAGATCCTTTCATTATTTAGCAGGTAACATCTAAAGGAACTGGTTTAAATCCTAATGCCAAAGTATGGCAAGAAATTCCTCCTGGAAACACTGATACCACTCCAGTAACTCAAGGAACCGAAAGCTCATGGCATGAAACAGCAGCCACATCAGGGTCTCATCCTGAGGGTAAGTCTGAAATATTTCACTGAAAGAAATCACATTTTGGTAAAATGTACTGCCAAACCAGTTTATAGAATTTTGGAGTACATTCTTTGGATATTAGATTAGATACATTTTTAAGTGCTAATGTGTGGTTTGCATATATGAAGGATTTTGAAAAAGTTTGTGGAAAATGTGCATCTTGGAAAAAATTATGCATGGATCTGTAAATTTTTGTGCCTAAATACACTTATGCTTCACTTCTGTTTTCCACTTTAAAAAAAAAAAAGAATTATTTTAACTTTATTTATTATTATTGTTATTTTTTAGTTTGATCAGAGAAAGAGAGAGAGAGAGAGTGAGAGAAAGCCAGCAGGTCCAGGACTTGAAACGCGATTGGCCATGTGAGAGTCCTGTGCCATTAACCACCATGCCACCTGCTGCCCCCCCACCCTTTTTTTTTTCTTTGAGATTTTTGCTATAGGGTGTGAGCATTCACCAGAGGAACAGAGAGACAGAAGGTGAGAAATCACTCCTCGGAGGAATGGCCATGCTGCAATCTCTTCTCTATTCTCCTTTCAGGATTTTGGGCATGTACACACATGTGCCCGGTGTGAGTTTTAAGCTGCTGGGTCCGGGATTTGAAGTGCGGCACACTATGTGGGAGTTCAGCCATCTGCTGGTCCTTGTTTTCCACTAATTTTAAGTCTCCGTCAGTGGTTCTAGCATCTAACCGACTTATGATAAATTAATTATGATCTACCAGCATTGACTCTGCTCTTTATTCACTGTTTGACTTTGGGCAAACTTAAATTCTCTGTACTCTTTCTTTCTTTCTTTCTTTCTTTCTTTCTTTCTTTCTTTCTTTCTTTCTTTCTTTCTTTCCTTTTTAAGCGGTTTTTGCCTTAGGCTACTTGCACTCAATGGAGAGAGAAACAGACAGATCGACACACCGAGAGGGAAAGTGAGAAATCAACCCTCCGGGGGGATGGCCATGCTGCAACCCCTTCTCCTCTGTGGATCTTGGGCATACGTGCACATGCACTTGGGGTGATTTTGAAGCCATTGGGTCCAGGACTCCAGTGTTGCAGTCCAGAAACCACAACGCCGTCTACTAGTCCTCATGCCTATTTCTTTTATCTATAAATCAGGAATAATAATAATTACCTACAGCATAGGATTTGCTGAGAATCAAGTAAATAAAGCACTGGGAATAGTCTGATACATAACTAGTGCTGTATACATTTTAGTTCTTCATTTTATCATATCCAGATGGTCAAAACTTACCTCACTTGGAGAGGTAACTGTAACTTGAATTCATGAAAACATCTTCCCAATTGGTAGAATTTTTTGAAATCATACTAAGAATTCTTAAAGATAGGATTTAAGGGATTCCTATTTATTTTCAGTGTCTTATCGTTCATATAGGTAATACAGAACTCTCAGAAGATTCATGTAAAGAATATGAAGCAATGTATTCTTCATCTTGTGAAATCACAAGAAATACTACAAGCATTGAAGAATCAGCTGATGGAATGATTTTAGGACCAGAAGATCTGAATTATCAAATATATGACGTTTCTGGTAAACTTTATGGTTTTATTGGTAAAATGAAAATTCAGTCTTCTAGTCCTATGCCCACCTCAACTCCTGCCTGCTGTAACACACACATTCTCTTTATAACTGTTCTGATAAACCTATGGCATTGATATTCTTATTTGAAAAGGAGCTAATATTAATAAAAATTAATTATATTTATACATACTTTTTTTCAAATAACCAAACATGAAATCTGTATTTAAAGACAAAGTTTACTTCATTAGGATCCTTATAGGAAACCGTGAAATGAAAGATAATGGAGAAAAATAACCAAAATAGTTAAGAGAGGGGCCAGCAGACGGCGTAATGGTTACATCACTGGACACCAATATAGTAGACTATGATTTGGGTTCTGGACCCAGTGGCTTAAAACTCATGCCGGGCGCATGATTGTGTGTGCCCCAGATCCTGAGAGGAGAATGAAGGAGAGGGGATTATGGTGTAATGGTTCATAGTAGTTTGTCGCTGTACTCCCACATGGCCAACCATGGTTTTAGTCCCAGACACGGTGGCTTCAAACTCACACCTGGCACGGATGTGTGTGTGCATGCCCAAAATCCCGAGAGGAGAATGGAGGAGAAGGGATTGAAGTGTGGCCATCCTTTCTAGAGGGTGATTTCTCGCTTTCTGTCTCTCTACCTCTGTCTCTCTGATGAGTACACACACCCTATAACAAAAATCTCTCTTAAAAAAAAACAAAAATAGTTAAGAGAAGTGCTGGCCCCATATTCTAGTACTTAAGGAGCCAGATCCTATATGGTCAGCTATGGTTCAAACCCTGTCCTGGTGGCTTGCAAAACATGAAGGTTTGCATACAAAGAAGGGATTGCAGCATGATCATATGTCATTGAGGGGATGCTTTCTTCCTCTCTCATGGAGTGTACTCTCTTGCCCCCTCTTCCCTTGTTAGCAAACACATGCACCCTCTGACAGTTTTTTTTTTCCAGTCCTTGTTTTGGGGAACATTTTTGCTATAGCGTACATGTGATTGCCAAAGAAACAGATAGACAGGTAGAAAGCTAGAATTCAGGGACCAGCAGATGGTGGAATGGTTACTCTCGACTCCCATGTAGTTGACAGCAGTTTGAGTCTTTGACCCAGCGGCTTGAGACTCATGCTGTGCATGTGTGTGTACATGCCCAAAATCCTAAGAGGAGAATGGAGGAGAAGGGATTGCAGCATGTCCATCCCCTGGGAGGTGGGGGGATGTTTCTCACTTTTTGACTCTGTCTCTCTCTCTCTAATGAGTACATATGCCCTAGAGCAAAAAAAAAAAAAATGTTAACAACAAATAAAATAAATACTTTTTTTAAAGAAAGAAAGAAAACACACACTGTAGGGATGGTCATGCCACAGTTCCTTCTCTTCCATTTTCCTTTGGGGAATTTGGGCATGCACGCACATAAACCTGGCATGTTTTTCAAGCTCTTGAATCCAGGACTCAGTCTGTGCAGTTGGCCATGTGGGATCTAGCAGCTTTAAATACCAAATGACTGGCTGACCCTATTTTTATAGTACCTGTTTGGCCTCTGTAAAGTAATTTAATATGGAGTAAGTATTTCTATTCCTGCTTATGAATAACTCTGTGACTTCAGGCTAGAAATGTTTTGAATAAATTTATTTTCCTTTTTTTTTATAAGATCTTATTTAACTTTATTATTATTTTACAGTTTTGATCAGAGAGAGAGAAAGAGAGAGAAGGAAAGTGAGAAAGCAAGCCACCCAGTCTGGGACTTGAATTGTGGTCAGCCATGTGGAAGTCCAGCTTCTTTAACTGTCACCTGCAGCTCCTCCGTTTGTTTGTTTGTTAGTTTGTTTTTAGAGAGACTTTTGTTATAGTGTATGCATTTACCCAAGAGACAGAGACAGAAAGTGAGAAATCACCTCCTAGAGAGGATGGCCATGCCACAGTCCCTTTTCTGTTTTCCTCTTAAGATTTTTCAGCATGCACATACATGCACTCGGCAAGAGTTTCATGCCACCAGGTCTGGGACTTGAGCCACAATCAGCCCTGTGGGAGTCCAGCATTGTAGCCATTATACCGTTTGTTGGCCCCATTATTCTTTTCTTTTTAATTACTTTATTTAACTATATTTATTTATTTTAATTTGACCAGAGAGGGACAGAGTAAGAGAGAGAGAAAGTTAAAAAAGCATGCCTCCAGGTTCAGGATTCGAACTGCAGTTGGCCATGTGGGAGTCCAGTGTCCGTAACCACCACACCACATGCTGGGTCCCTGTTATTCATTTTTCATTAAATTGGTATTTAATACTACTTTTTTTTTTTGAGAGTTTTTTTGCTATAGGGCGTGTGCACTCGCCAGAACGACAGAGAGAGAGAGAGATAGAAAGCGAGAAATCACCCCCTAGGGGGGATGGCCACGCTGCAATCCCTTCTCCTCCATTCTCCTCTCGGGATCTTGGGCATGCACACACATGCGCCCGGCGTGAGTTTAAGCCACTGGGTCCGGGACGTGAACTGTGGTCGACTACATGGGAGTCCAGCGACATAGCCATTATGCTAACTGCTGGTCCCGGTATTTAATATTACTTTTATTTTTGAGTGATAAGACAACTTAATGGTAAAATCATAGACAAAATTTACTTAGGTTCATATATAAGTTGAATGTCCCTTATCTGAAATGCTTGAGATCAGAAGTGTTTTAGATTTTAGGTGGTTTGTTTTGTTTTGTTTTGTTTCCCATAGGGCATATGCACTGGCTAAGATCACAGGATGTGATTTATTTTATTTTATTTCCTATTTTAAGAGAGATTTTTTGCTATAGTGTGCATGCGCTTGCTAGAGATACAGAGACAGAAAGTGAGAACTCACCCCAGGGGGGATGACCACATCACAATCTCTTTTCTTCCAGTCTTCTCTTTGGATTTTGGGCATGCATGCATACACTTTTGGCTTGAGTTTTAAGCTGCTAGGTCTAGGACGTGAATCGCGGTTGACTTTGTTGGAGTCCAGTGATGTAACCATTTTACCATCTGCTGGTTTCACGCCCCTGGTTTTGGGACTCAAACTGTTGTCGGCCATGTGGGAATCCAGTGCATTAAACACGATATTACCTGCTGGCCCCCAGATTTTTTTTAAATTGAATCAGATATATAATGAGCTATCAGGGGGATCAAACCCAAGTCTAAATGCAAAATCTGTTTATGTTCTTATACACATAGCCTGGAGGTAATTTCATACAATATCTTTCATTGCTGCATTTTGACTGCTGCCTATCACATGAGGTCAGGTGTTGAATTATTTCACTTATGGCATCCCCGTTAGCATACAAGCTTTAGATTTTGAAGCATTTCAGATTCTTGGATTAGGAATGCTCAACCTATATGTATGTTCTGCTGTCTGTGTATTTAAAGGAAATGTAGTCTGGGGACCAACAGGTGGTGTAATGGTTAAGTCTGAATCCAGTGCATTAAACACGATATTACCTGCTAGCCCCCAGATTTTTTTTAAATTGAATTAGATATATAATGAGCTATCAGGGGGATCAAACCCAAGTCTAAATGCAAAATCTGTTTATGTTCTTATACACATAGCCTGGAGGTAATTTCATACAATATCTTTCATTGCTGCATTTTGACTGCTGCCTATCACATGAGGTCAGGTGTTGAATTATTTCACTTATGGCATCCCCGTTAGCATACAAGCTTTAGATTTTGAAGCATTTCAGATTCTTGGATTAGGAATGCTCAACCTATATGTATGTTCTGCTGTCTGTGTATTTAAAGGAAATGTAGTCTGGGGACCAACAGGTGGTGTAATGGTTAAGTCTGTGAACTCCCATGTAGTCGACCGCAGTGGCTTATGTTTTGACTTTTAATAAAAGAGAATATAAAAGGTTGTTAAGAGAACTGATCTGATATGTCTAATGTTTAGTTAAACATGCCTTGAATGGAAGACATAGTATTCTAAAATTAAAAAACGAAGAGAAAAGAGTAGTAAGAGATAGTCACTTCCTTTTTTTTGGAGAGGTTTTTGCTATAGGGTGTGCGTGCTTGTCAGAGAGACGAGAGGCCATGATCCCTTCTCTTCCATTCTCCTCTCAGGATCAAGGGCATGCACGCACACGCGCCCAGCGTGAGTTTAAGCCACCGAGTCCGGGACTCGAACCATGGTCGACTACATGGGAGTCCAGCGACATAGCCATTACACTAACTGCTGTTCCCAAGATAGTCACACTTCTTAAATCAGTAATAGAAATGAGATTATAGAATATATCTTGATTTACTAGTTCTTCAAATTTAGATTACTATTGCTTTTATTCTTTGAGTTTTCATTAAAGGAGTAAGTAGTTTACATTTAAAAAATTTTTTTTCTCTGTTTTCTTTCTTTTTTTTTTTTTTTTGTAGAGGTTTTTGCTACAGGGTGTGTGTACTCGCCAGACAGACAGAGACAGAGAGACAGAAAGCGAGACAGAAAGCCCCGGAGGGGCGATGGCCATGCCGCAGTCCCTTCTCCATTCTCCTCTTGGGATCTTGGGTATGCACGTACACGTGCCCAGTGTGAGTTTTAAGCCACCAGGTCTGAGACGCGAACCGCAGTCAGCTACATGGGAGTCCAGCGACATAGCTGTTACGCTAACTGCTGGTCCCAGTAGTTTACATTTTAAATTTTGCTAGAGGGCACAAATGCTTGTCAGAGAAAGTGAGAAAGCACCCCCCCCCCATAGGGATTGATCAAACTGTAATTCCTTTTCTTCCACCTGTCTTATATTTTGGTATTTTATGCACACTTGCACATGCTTCTTGTTTGCTTTTTAAGCCACTAGGTGTGACTCAAACGACACAATTGTCCATGTGGGATCACATGTGTTAATATCACATCACCACCTTTTTCCCACTAAGAGCACTAAGAAGAGTCAGAGAGCTCAGTGCTACTTCTTTTCTTTTCTCTCTTTTTATTCCTTGATGAAATAATTCTTAAACTAATATGAAATCTATTTAAAAGATAAGATTACTGGAGGGACCAGATGGCGTAGTGGTCACATTCCTGGACTCCTACATGGCCTACCGCAGTTCGAGTCCTGGCCCCGGTGGCTTCAGAATCATGCAAAGCGTGTGTATGTACATGCCCGAGATTCCAGGAGGAGAATGGAGAAGGCATTGAGGCATGGCCATCCCCCCAGGGAATTGTTTCTGACTTTCTTGCTTTTTCTCTCTCTCTCTCTCTCTGGTGAGCACATGCACCTTATAGCAAAACCCGTCTCTTAAAAAAAAAAAAAGAAAGAAAGAGAAGATCATTAGAATGAAATTAGTTAGACCTTGAAAAAATCCAAGTTATGAAAAACAATAAATATAGGGCCAACAGGTGGCGTGGCGGTTAAAGGTGTTGTGGAGGTAAAGGCAGCTAGATCCCATGTCACTGACTACGTGATTTGAGTCTGGACCCAACAAGTGGCACTCCAGGCCTGTGTGTTTGCCCAAAACCCTGAGAAGAGAATGTAGGATAGGGATTGTAACATGACTTTCCCCCGAGGGGTGATTTCTCACTTTCTCCCTCTCTGGTGAGCACATGCATTCTATAGCAAAAATTTACAAAATTAAAAATAAATAAATGCAATTTTGTGGTAAATTTTAATTCATAGACATTATGATTTCTGTGTAAAATATTTATAGTTTACTACCTTTGGTAACATGGTCCTAACTTTTATCTCTCCTTGTTTTCTACCATCAGGAGAAAGCAATTCAGCAATTTCTGCAGAAGACCTAAAAGAATGTTTGAAGAAACAATTAGAGTTTTGTTTTTCACGGTACATAATCATTTCATTATTAATATTTTGCTTTTATTGAGTTATTTGGTTAGAAGTTATGAAATGTCTACAAAATAGAGTAGAATACTGGTTATTGGGAGCTGGCCAATGGCTCAGTGGTAATGCAACATTTATAAGGCTGGCCCATTTGGGAATGTTCCAGGTTTGCGTCTGGATACCCCTCAATAGCCAGGCATGCAGACACATGCTTCTAGGCTAGCTGAAGCAAGGATTTTGTTGTGACCTTAAGACCCTGTTGAATGCCCTCAGTTGGCCATGTGGGAGTCTAGCATCCCAAGCACCATGCCACCTTTTGACCCCAAAGTGGATATCTCGTAATTTATATTTTTAGTAGTTGGCTTTTAAAACTTTTGATGACAGAATTATCTTAAATTAGATGAACAGAGAATTTATATTAAATAAGGAAAATAGGCAAATATTTCAAGATGTCTTATTTACAATTAAGAATTATGTAGGTATTTTTATCGTTTAGACAGCCTAAAACTTTGTTTTTTTCACTCCCTCTGCTGCACCTCTCCCACTCTGTTCCTCTCTGGTCTAATAAATATAAATAAATAAAATTATGTGAAACTGCACCTTCCAAAATAAAAATAGATTTCATACGCACGCCAATATAATAACTTCTGTTTTTTTCTGTCTCTGGCGAATGGTACAACTAGTGAACCAGTTTTTCAAGCTAGACTCAGTCCTATTTATTTATTTATTTATTATCAGAGGCCACACATGCTTGCCAGAGAGGCAGAAGGCTGGGGAAATGAAAAAGCATTCCTCAGTGGGGCATTAGCCACACTATAATCCCTTCTCCATTTTGCCATCTTGTTGGAATTTGGGGCATGCACAATCCTGTTGTTTTTTTTTTTTTTTAAGGTGCCAGGCCCGGGATTTGAACCATGTAATGTCCCATGTGGGATCTAACTTCCTGACTGAGTAGGCCATGGGGCCTGCCCTTTGGTAGACTTATTTTTATATACATTGTACATTCTTGACTGAGGTTAATTGATTCTTTATCTTAAATATTGCCTAATTTTTCCTTTTGTCTTTGTTCTTTACCTTTATATTCTAGCACAGGTCCTAGGATGAAAGCAAGAGCCTAATGTTTTTAATCGGTTGTGCCTATAAGACAATCTTTTTTTTTTTTTTTTTGAGAGGTTTTTGCTATAGGGCACATGCGCTTGCCAGACAGACAGAGAGAGACAGAGAGACAGAAAGTGAGAAATCACCCCCCAGGGAGATGGCCACACCGTAATCCCTTCTCCTCCATTCTCCTCTCGGGATCTTGGGCACGCACACACACGCACCCGGCGTGAGTTTTAAGCCACCGGGTCTGGGACGCAAACCGTGGTTGACTACATGGGAGTCCAGCGACATAGCCATTACGCTAACTGCTGGTCCCTACAATCTGTTTTGTTTAACACACTTGTAATAGTTATTTTAAAAATCCTTATCTAATCAGACCATTTGTGGCTTTGCTTAAATTGTCTTGAGTTTTTTTCTCTTAATTATCTTTACTTCCTGTCTTTTTGTTCATCTTGTTCACCTTTCTTCTGTTAGTCAGGCAAATAGAATAAAATCTTGATTGCTTTAGTCTAGATCAGGAATTGAGCTGGATCATGGCTAAACAACCAGCTTAATTAAACCCAGTCCACCTTTGATTTATCTTCATCTATGGGCAAAGCCCTCCTTAGTCTTCTGATTAGGGCTTGGCAGTTTTTTTGTCACCTTAATCCTGAAGCATCAGAGAGACTTAAAGGTTTGAGATGAGTTCTTACCCCATACAGCTTCAAAATACGGCAAATCACTTGTGAGAAAGCTTTGGGTTTGTTGCAGGGTCTCTCCCCTTCCACTGGTACTTAATCACAACCACTCAGATTTGGGAACCAGCAGTTAGTGTAATGGCTATATCGCTGGACTCCCACGTAGTCGACCATGGTTCGCGTCCCAGACCTGGTGGCTTAAAACTCACGCCGGGCACATGTGCATGCGTGCCCAAGATCCCGAGAGGAGAATGGAGGAGAAGGGATTGTGGCATGACCATCCCCCCGGGGGGTGATTTCTCTCTTTCTGTCTCTATGTCTCTCTGTCTGTCTGGCGAGTGCATGCGCCCTATAGCGAAAAAACCTCTCAAACCCCCAAAAAACCAGATTTGTCTCTGACTCAGTCTCCTCTCTCCTTTCCAAGAAGATCCTCCTTGGAACCTATATATTTTCTGAGGACACAAACCAACATAAGAAGAAACTGAAATGTGTTCAGTGACAGATGATGTGGAAGACATTGAATAGAGTAGTGTAAGCAAGGGAAGAGGAATGAGGAGTGCCTAGATGGTTGCTATTGTAAATAGGGTAGTCGTGTCAGACCTCTTGGAATAGGAGACTTTATTTTTGTTTTGTTGTTGCTATAGGACACCTGTATTGGAGTGGGAGAGACAAAGAAAGGGAAAGTGAGAAAGCACTGCTCGTGGGGGGTGGCCATGCCGCAGCCCCTTTCCTTCATTCTCCTCTTGGTATCTTATACACGCGTGCTTGCACAGTGTGTGTTTATGTTGCCAGATCCAGGTTGCCAACCTCAAAATTGGATGTATAGGAACCAACTGCCTTAACTTCCATGTTACCTGTTGACCAGAGTAGGAGGCCTCTTTTTTTTTTATTATTATTTTTTTTAATGTTTTTGCCATAGGGCATGTGCACCCACTGGAAAGGAGATACAGAAGGAAAGTGAGAAATCACTGTCTGAGGAGGATGGTCATGCCTTCAGTCCCTTCTCCATTCTCTTCTTGGGGTTGTCAGCGTGCACACACATGCGTGGCATGATTTTTCAAGATGCCAAGTCTGTTGCTGGACACATTTTTTTTTTAAGTATTATTTTATTAAATTTTTTTTATTCATTTTTTTTAAAGAATTTTTTCTTTGTTTTGGAGAGTTTTTTGCTGTAGGGCGCGTGCACTCGCCAGACAGACAGAGAGAGACAGAGAGATAGAAAGTGAGAAATCACCCCTCAGGGGGGATGGCCACGCCGCAATCGCTGCTCCACCGTTCTCCTCTCAGGATCTTGGACATGCACGCACACGCACCCAGCGTGAGTTTTAAGCCACCAGGTCCGGGACTCGAACCCCGGTCGACCACGTGGGAGTCCAGTGACATAACCATTATGCTAACTGCTGGTCCCAAGAATTTTTTCAAATTTGACTTTATTTATTTTAATTATACCAGAGAGGCCAGAGTGTGAGAGAGTGAGAGAAAGAAAGTAAGAAAGCAAGCCATCGAGTCCTGGACCCAAATTACAGTCAGCCATATGGGAGTCCAGCGCCCTCAACCACCATGCCACTGCCAGCCCCATAACTTTATTTATTTATTTTACTTTGGCCAGAGAAGAATAGAGTAAGAGAGATGAGGCAGGGCGAGTGAGAAAGCAAGCCACCAAGTCTGGGACTTGAACCACAGTCTGCCACGTGGGAGTCCAGCACCTTTAACCACCATGACACCTCTGGCCCTGGACTTTTTTTTTTTTTTTTAAGAATTTATTTAATTTTGTATTTATTATTATTATTAATTGCTACAGGGCACTTGCACTCACTAGAAAGAGAGAGACAAAAATAGAGAGAGAGAGAGAATGTGTGAAGGCAAGTCACCAGCTCCAGGACTTGAACCAAAGTTGACTGTGTGTGGGAATCCAGCGCCTTAACCACCAGGGCACCTATTATTCTAGTAGGAGGCACTTTTTTTTTTTTTTTTAATACAAAATGTGTTTATTGGGTTGGTTTCCCACTCATCTTGAGTCAGGAAGTTTATAGTGCTGCTTCCTCCTGAAGGAACACTCTCTGTAAGCCTCGCTTTTCCTCCTGTAGGCTGACAGAGGACATTGGAGCAGCCAATGTACAAAACTACCATTTGTGCTTAAAGACTGGTGATTTTACAGCATCCTGTGCATTTGCCATTTATGTAGTAGAAATTTGGGCTCTGCAACAGGCACTGCTACTTTCGTTTCCTCTTCTGGAGAGGGATGAGAGAGATCTTTAGTGAGAGGTGTGCTTTCGTGGGGAGGTTGTCTTTGCCAGAAAAGTAGTAGGAGGCTTTTAAAGCCAAGACTTTTAATTCTTACTATATATTGCCAGGCTTCTTTAAAGAATATTTGATGTGCTGGGACCAGTAGATGGCATAATGTTTAGAATCCCATGTAGTCAACTGCTGTTCTAGTTCCGGACTTTGCGGTTTAAAACTCATGCTGAGAACTTGTGCATGCATGCCCAAAATCCCAAGAAGAGAACAGAAGAGAAGTTGTGGCATGGCCATCTCCCTGGGTGGTAACTTCTCACTTACTGTCTGTCTGTCTCTTTATCTATGGTGAGCGCATGTGTTCTATACCAGAAATCTCTCTATGAAAGGAAAAAGGGACCAACAGTTAGAGGAATGGCTATGTCGCTGGACTCCCATGTAGTCAACCACGGTTCGAGTCCCGGACCCATGCCTTAAACTCACACCGGGCGCGTGTGCATGCATGCCCAAGATCCCGAGAGGAGAAGGGATTTGGCGTGGCCATCCCTCCTGGGGTAGTGATTTCTCACTTTCTGTCTGTCTCTCTCTGTCTTTCTGACGAGCACACACACCCTATAGGAAAACACCTCTATAAAAAAAAATAATGAAAAAAAAAATTTAATGAGACTAGAAAAACATGAATTTTATTTTACTTTAGTTTAAAAAATATTTTTTTTTATGTGAACCAGCAGGTGGCATGGTGATTTAGGTGCTGGGTTCCCACATGGTTAACCCTGGTTCGAATCTCAGACCCAGCATTTTTATAAATTACAACAAATAAATAGATAAATAAATGACTAAAATTTCTTTTTCTTTTCTTTTTAGAGATTTTTGCTATAGAGCATGTGTACTCACTGGAAAGACAGAGAGAGAGACAGACAGAAAGTGAGAAATCACCCCCTGGGGGATGGCCACTCCGTAATCCATCCTCTGTTCTCCCCTCGGGATCTTGGGCATGCATGTATGCACACATGCCTGGTGTTGTTTTAAGTAACTGAGTCCGAGACTCGAACCACAGTTAACTTTGTAGGAGTCCAGCACCATGACCATTACACCACTTGCTGATCCCAATAAATAAATGTGTTTTTTTAAAAAACAAGCAAACAAACAAAAAAAACCTGAAGAGGGTGCTGGCAGGTAGTGCAGTTGTGAAGGTGCTGATTCCCACAGGGTCGATTGTGGTTTGAGTCCTGGACCTGCAGGCTTGCTTTCTCACTTTCTCTTCCTCTCTCTTTCTGGTCAATTAAAAAAAAATGATAACATTGGGACCTGCAGTTAGCGTAATGGCTATCGCTGGACTCCCACATAGTCGACCGCGGTTCGTGTCCCGGACCCGGTGGCTTAAAACTCACGCTGGGCATATGTGCGTGCATGCCCAAGATCCTGAGGGGAGAATGGAGGAGAAGGGATTGTAGCGTGACCATCCCCCCTGGGGGGTGATTTCTCGCTTTCTGTCTCTCTGTATCTCTGAGTCTGTCTGATGAGCACATGCGCCCTATAGCAAAAACCTCTCCAAAAAAAAAGATAACAAATGGAATTAAATAAATAATTCTCTATTTAATAAAAAAAATCAAGAGAACGAAAATTTTTCTATGTATGATGAGAGTGTTTCTATTAATGTATCATAAAGAATCTGTTGTCCTAATTTTAAAAACATTTTTTATGAATCAGTAGGAGACAGTTTTCTGTTTTTTTTTTTTTTTTTAAGTTTCTTTTCATGAGCAAGAAGAAAGACAAGTATCCTTAACAGAGTCTCACACTGCAGTCCTTCCCCTTGTCTTTCTGGCAGTCAGGATCGTGGGCATACACACACTCAAACCCAGCATGTTAAGATCTATTTGGAAACGGAACCCCAGCTTTCTCCAGCAATTCAGAACAAGCTACTGTTGGCCACCTATTCTGGGCTTATCCTGCTATAGCATCATAGCTAGGATACAGTTGTGTAGTGTTCTACCTAGCTTAGTTAGGTTGATCTGGGAACTGAACCTGGGCCTTACATGTGGCCCCAGCTGCCCATAGTGGTGCCAGACCTAAATTCATATTTTTAAGTTAGAGCCAGTTGCGGCGCTGACCTGTAGTCCCAACACTTGAGAGGCTGGCTGAATCAGAGCAGTTTTAAGTTGAAAGTTCTCCTGGGCAATATAGGAAGACTCTTTAAAAAAAAAAAAAAAGATAGAAAAGTCAAGGTGCTTATAGAAAATGCAAACATTTAAGTGGAAATGGAAAATTCTCCATGATCAAACTATACCTTTATCCATATACATACTCTAATAGCACTTACAAAATTTATAGGATGGAACTGCACTAAGTGTAGTGTTTTATAATGTACTATTTAATATTAATCCTCTGCAAGTCATCATTCTGTAAAATTCCTTGTTGAAAATTATTGGGATAGGGACCAGCAGTTGGCATAATGACTATGTCGCTGGACTCCGAAGTAGTCGACTGCAGTTTGAGTCCCGGACCCAGTGGCCTAAACTCACACCGGGCACGTGTGTGCATGCCCAAGATCCTGAGAGGAGAATGGAGGAAAAGGGATTGTGGCATGGCCATCCCTCCTGGGGGGTGATTTCTTGCTATCTGTCTCTCTGTCTCTGTCTTTCTGGCTAGCGCACGAGCCCTATTGCAAAAAACCTTTCAAAAAACAAAAATGGAAAATTATTGGAATAGAGTGTTTGAGGATTCAGAAACTTTTAGAATGTTGTTATATCTGATATATATTGTATTGGTATCTTTTAAAAACTGAACTTTTTAACTTTTCAAAGTTTACTGTGTTAATGGCAAAATATTTTTGCTCCTCTAGACTTTCTGATAAAATTGAATAAGGTACTTCTTTAAGTGCTTTTTTAGAGTTATTTGTTTTATAGGATTATTGCTTCTGTTTTTTTTTTTTCCCTTTCAGAGAAAATTTGTCAAAGGATCTTTACTTGATTTCACAAATGGATAGTGACCAGTTTGTCCCCATTTGGACAGTTGCCAACATGGAAGAAATAAAGAAGCTGACTACAGACCCTGATCTAATTCTTGAAGTGCTGAGATGTATGTAAATTACACCTTGTAGCTTATCTTTCAGCTTTTAAAAATGAAATATTTTGATATCTGATCATACAGGGAATTGTCTTTAACTGCCTTTTTTGTGTTTGTTATTCTGTTCCAGTCATTTATTTTTACTGTCATTGATTTGTGTTTGTATGTCCATATATATTTCTATATTAATTTTATACCATTAAGTATAAGGAATTAAGTAGCTTTTTTCTAGGCTATTAGAAATCTCTGTATCATTATCACACCCTTTAAAACAATTTGTTTCCAACTTTTGAACCCAGGTAAGCAGTATATTTTACATCACAGTCCAATGCATGCATAACATACCACTCCACAACTGTCACTTCTGCAAATTAATAATAAGTGCTTGCCATGAACTCATTTTTCCTGTTCTAAACTTACTTCACAGCCAACTAATAAGTTGTGATCATGGAGTTTGATAAATACTGCTCTGAAGTTTGATAAAGAGTTTATATTTCTTGATTGAGGGTCTAAGAACTTTTAGTGGTATTTATGTCTTATATCAGTATTTCTTGGTACTCTCTCTCTCTCTTTTTTTTTTTTTTTTGTTTGTACTATTTATTTCTTTTGGAGGAGGAGGTTAAACATTTGTTTATTTATTTGTGCTCCAAAGAGCTTTCCCAAAGAGCAGAGATTTATTTTCATTGCATGTCAACATGGACAATGTTCTAACTTTATAACCATTTAAATTCAAGGTAATATATACAATATGTGTTTTTCTGAAATTTAGTGTGTTTATTTGGGCATATGGGTGTTCCTTGTGTTCTTGCTCACACATGAAAGAAACTGGCACTTGGGCTTCATGGGCAAATTTTTAAAATTACAGATCAATCCAGCTTGTCTTTGATATGGGCTTGAGCTAATAGTTAAGAAATCATTCAATAATAATGGCCTCAAACATGTAAAAAGCCTCTGAAACTGCAGCTAATGAAGGGACTATTGATTCTAAGAATAAGCAAGGAAATGAGGTTAGAATGTTAAGTGTGGATGTCAAAGTTCAATATTCTCCTCATTTTTGTAGCATGTATAAAGTAGAAAGAGAATAAGAAGTATATAAATAACATAAAATAAGTACATACAGAACTAGGAAATATTTTTCATTGCAATTGCCACTTATTTCAGTTCCAATAGAAGCTAATAAGGAAAATAACCATTTAAGGTGGAAGATTAATTACACTGTGGCTGTTTGAACTTCTGGTGAGCAAAAGAATGAATGCAATCAACTTCCCGGTTTATACTTAATTATTTATCTTACAACATGTTATTTTGTAAACTTCTGTGTCACGCTTTGAAAATTCAAAGCCGAAAATAAAATCATAAAGAAAGCGAGAAATTCTATGTGCACATCTAGACAGATTTTTGCTTGTAGTTTTTGGTATCCAAAACCTTTTCCCCACACATTGCGCAGATACCCTTCTTGTAGGCACAGCCCTGGCAGTAATGAGAACCCAGTTGGTGCACAGAACTTTTAGAAATTCTGCAAGTAGAGAACTTGTTCTTTCCATATAGGTCGAATCTTGCTTTTTTTGAAGTCAAAGCTTTATTTTCATTCAGCTTTCTCCCACCACTTTCTGTGGTATTCTTTGCACCATCTTTCCAAGTATCTGGAGTGATAACAGTACCAAGTTTCTTTTCACATTTTCCACACACCATCCTTCCGCCAGCAATTCCCCTAGCTACCTTGGACTCTCTCTTGAAGTGGGTTTTGTTAATGACTGAATTAGATAAAGGCAGATCTTTGTTTTTATATGAAATGTATTTAAAAAGTTTAAGAGTTAAATATAACACGGTTTTGTGATAGCTTCATGAGAATATAGGATTATATTGGACGCCTTTGCAATCTCATCAGTTTTTTTTTTATTAATCTTTTTTTTATTTTTTTGTTTTTATTATCATCATAATCTTTATATTACATTGGATTACATACAACTTTACAGTGTATTACATTGTTTTTTAAAAATACGGAACGCTTAAAAAAAAAAAATACGGAACGCTTCACGAATTTGCGTGTCATCCTTGTGCAGGGACCATGCTAATCTTCTCTGTATCGTTCCAATTTTAGTATATGTGCTGCCGAAGCGAGCACAATCTCATCAGTTTTTAAAATGACCCAGTCTTGGGGCCAGCAGGTGGCATGGTGGTCATGGGCGCTGGACTCTCACGTGACTTACCTCTGTTCGAGCCGAACCTGGTGGCTTGCTTTCTCACTTTTCCTCTCTCTCTTTCTCTCTTTCTGTCCCTGTCTGGTCAAATTAAAATAAATTAATAAATCAGTAAGTTAAGTAAAATAATTCTCTTTTTTTTCTTTTTTTTTGAGAGAGGTTTTTGCTATAGGGCACATGCACTCTCCAGAAAGACAGAGACAGAGAGACAGAAAGCGAGAAATCACCCCCCCCCCGGGGGGGGTTGGCCATGCCGCAATCCCTTCTCCATTCTCCTCTCGGCATCTTGGGCATGTACGCACACGCGCCTGGCATGAGTTTAAGCCACCGGATCCAGGACTCAAACCATGGTCAACTACATGGGAGTCCAGTGACATAGCCATTATGCTCACTGTTGGTCCCAGTAGAATAATTATTTTTAAAAGAATGATCCAGTCTTAATTACAAAATAAAATAAAATTGGCAAAGAGAGAATCCACCACCTGCTTAGGATTATGCCAAGCACTTACATTCAAACCTTTACCTTTTACTGCTGCTTTTATTTTACTTATTACCTGCTTAGGGAGATATGACCATATGACCTTTCTGAAAGGACTAGAAATAAAAGTTTTTACTATGTGGTACTATCTATTTTCATTTAATATTTCCTCAAAATCAGCATCTAAACAGTGATTTCTGGATCTCTCTCATAGAATGTAACAGTAAATATGTTGAAGTCAAGGATGGCTTGTAATCATTTCTGTATAGTTCTTGGCTTCAGCAATTCTTAGGCTAATTTTAAGAAGAATTTCTTCACATACCAAATCTCATTACATTCTCCTAGAAGATTGTTTGGCTAATGCAAACACTGGTTTTTGTTAATAGGCATTTGTTATCTCTTGAATGGATAATTTTGTTATTGAATACAAGAAATTGCTTTATTAGATATGTGTTGTATAGTGCCTGAAGGCTTATTTTTAATTTTATCATAGTCTCAAGCTGCAAAGGTATGTACTGTAAATATTTAGCAAATAACATTTAACGATGTTTTTTGTATAGAAATCTCAAAAAGTTGTTAATCACAGCTATAATCTTTGAATCTGCAGTTTAATTTTTTAAAATTATTAACCTAAAATTTGCTAATTTATGCATGTTGGAAATTGAAATGAAGAGGTTGTTTTTGGTAGAATTACTAATATTTCTGCTTGTCACGTTTAGATGAGACCCTTCTTATTTTAAATTTCAGCTTCTCCCATGGTACAAGTTGATGAAAAGGGTGAGAAAGTGAGACCAAGTCATAAGCGTTGTATTGTGATTCTTAGAGAGATTCCTGAAACAACACCAGTAGAGGTAAATGATTAATCATGTTAAAGCTAAATGTTCTTTATATTGGATAAAGTGTACATGAGAATTTTAAGTCTATGCTCTAATATCAGTTGTTGAGAATAAGATAAATATTAATTTGTTTTGTTACTCTGAAGTACAAGAATGGTATGGAGGATAGAAAAGGTACAATTCTATGTTTTTAGAAGGATAGCTATGTATTGCAGTGATGTCAGTTTTCTGTTGGTTTGACTGAATGGCAATTAAAGCATAGATAGGCTGTTTTAGAAAGTTGAGGGCTTGGGACCAGCCAGTAATATGGTGATTAAGTTGAAGGCATTACACATTGCCACCTGCGCAGGGGTGCTTTCTCAACTTTCTATCTCTCTCTCAGTCTCTCTTTGCTCTTTGGCAAATATATTTACCCTATAGCAGTTTTTGTTGTTGTTTTTTGTTTGTTTGTTTGAGAGAGAGAGATTTTTGCTATAGAGCATTTGCACTTGCCAGAGAGATAGGCAAAGAGAGAAAGTGAGAAATAACTGCCTGGTGAAGGATGTCCACACCGCAGTCCCTTCTCCACTGTTCTCCTCTCAGGATTTTAGGGACACACAAACACACACACACACACACACACACGCCCTGCATGAGTTTCAAGCTATTGAGTCTGTGACTCAAATCATGATTGGCCATGTGAGATTCCAGTGCCTTAACCACCCTAATACAAATTGAAAAAATAAAGTAGTGTAGGCAACTGAGTGGCTATACCTTTTTTTTTTTTTTTTTTTTTTTATAGCAGAGGCAAGCACGGGCGCGCGGCGCAT